TGAATGCACAAAGGTGGTTTAAACTTCTTAATTGCCATCTAGGGCTTCTACAAACTTTAGGATACGCCCCAAGCACATTTTATAGATAGGTTTAAAAGGTGTTTTAACGTCACTTTTATGTCTTGTCTCTATGATGTGTTTCGCAATAGAGGAGCTAGGTCTCCTGTTCCCACCATTAATGGGTTCTGAAGATTCTATTTGTTTCTGGGGCTATTTAGGAATATTCTCTGAAGCCAGCCCTTACATGCAGAGATCAATGAATCCTGCCTATGCATGTGTGTCCACATGAACATTCAAATTGGTAAATACAGTGGGATGTGACTTCATTTTTTGGATGTTCGAAGGGCTTAGCTAGATACACTGGCTTTACATTCTCTATTATTATGATATTAACTGCATAAAAATTCTTTTTACCAGCAGCGTTCAGTCTTTGTCTAATTATCAAGCTTCTTTGATGCCCCATATATGGTAGCTTGATGTACACGTCTTTCTTAGGGGAGAGTTGGAGAGTGGATCTGGGTGTTACACTGACTACTTTATATCTCCTGATGAACTTGTCTGGATAATTGTTATCTACCAGAGTTTGTGTCAGCCTTATTTCTTTTCACCAAGTGTGTCTTCAGTGCATATTCGTTGGATTCTACTGAAGAGGCTGTCTGATTAGATAGATGTATTTATATTAACCATCACAGATATAGTTTTTCTTGTCGAAAACAGTCGAATTCATCAGCAATGTACTCGATTTGACGTGAACTAGGCAGTTAAATTAGTTCAAATCACTTACATTCTGCTCAGTTGCTTGACAGTAATGATAACCTATGGCATATAACAAGTTATTTTTTAAGTTGATCAAATCGCCACTCTACGGATCATCATTGAACAAAGCTTGGAATGGCCGTCAGTCGCCTCTCCACCTCACTCAACTTCATCGACTTTGAAAAGGCATTCGACAGCGTCGATCGAGAGGTGATTTGGAAACTACTTCGCTACTACGGGGTCCCATCGACAATTATACATCTCATCCAACAGTTATACGACAGTGCTGCATGCCAAGTAATCCACAACGGGAAACTTACGGAGGCCTTCGAAGTGAGGACGGGAGTGAGGCAAGGCTGTCTACTATCACCAATGATCTTCCTGATTGCAATTGATTGGATAATGCGACAGACAACGGCAACCAACGAGGGAACAGGCATAAAATGGACTGACACAAAAGACTTGGAGGATCTGGATTTCGCCGATGATATATGTCTGATTTCCCATAAACTGGAAGATATGCAAGTGAAAAGTAACAAGTTGGCAGAAGAAGCATCAAAGATAGGACTTCAGGTGAACATAGACAAAACAGAGATGATGAAGATTCCTAGCCAACAGCAACAGCAGCAACAACAACAGACAACAATCAGCATAAGTGGGAAGAACCTGAAAGAAACAACCTCCTTCTACCTACCTGAGAAGCACCCTTTCGACTACAGGCGGAACTGACGAGGATATCAAAGCCAGAATCGGAAAAGCAAGACAAGCTTTCATTACCCTCAAATCTGTGTGGAGGTCAACAGCACTCAGCATGAAAAATAAGATCCGGATTTTCAACTCCAATGTGAATCCAGTCAGTGCTGCTATACGGATCAGAGACATGGCGAGTCATAAAGAGCATCTCAAACAAACTTCAAACCTTCATTAACAGCTGTCTCCGCTCAATACTCAAGATCAGATGGCCGGCTAGAAAAGATCAGCAACAGGGATCTCTGGGAGCGAACCAAGCAGGAACCGAATGTGAAACAAATAGGCAGAAAGAAATGGAGATGGATTGGCCATACGCTGAGGAAACCATCAAGTGACATCACTAGACAAGCCCTCGAGTGGAACCCGAAAGGGAGGCGGCGAGTTGGTCGTCCAAGGGTGACTTGGAGGAGGTCATGCGAGGAGGAGATGAAAGCATGTGGACATACCTGGAGCAGGGTGAAAAAGTTGTCAGAAAACCGAAGGCAATGGAGGTGCGCAGCTGAAGCCCTATGTTCCTCTAGGAACTAAAGGATACAACAATAATAATAATATAACTACTCATAAAAATCAGTAGCATATGCTGTGCTGCAATTTTGATTTTATTAATACCATTTCATTATGTTGTATAGAATAAACTTATCTAAAGTAAAATTATGAATATATAATATATTCTGTGTGTGCGTCGGTGGCACAGCGGTAGAATGCTCGTCAACCACGCCTCATGTGGTTCGGGGTTCAATCCCCGGCCACAGACTCACTCATTTACCTTGCTAAGTCAGCAATAAGACTGGTAAAGAGGGAAGGTTGAGCTAAGCATGAGGGTAGCAACCTCATCCTGTAAAAATAGAAAACACCACTGCTATCACAACTTCAAAGCTTTGGCTTGTAGGTGCCCTACGTGTTTCATTGGGAATTTTAAGGAAAAAGATATATTCTAATTATTATTATTATTCTTCCTAATGTTATTATCGTTTTATTCCTTTGCGTTCCCAGTGGAACATGTAGGGCTTCAACCTCGAGCTTTGACGTTTCAGTAGGAGTGGTGTTATTCGCGGGGTTTGGTTGCTGCTAGCCTCATGCCTAACCTTCTGTTGTTTTTTTCGGGCTTATTATCGGTTGAATGAGGTGTATGAGCGCGTTTGCCGACCATCGAACCTCAGACTACTTGTGGCGTGGTTGGCGAGTATTCTGCCGCTGAGCTGCTGATTGTACTAATATTCTAATTAATGCATAAGTGACACTGAATACGAGTGATAGAATTATGTAGTGTGGTGAGTTGTCTAATGAATCATTTGTGCTCAGAGCACACAAGAAATAAAGGAAATGCAAATATTATGTAAAAACTCGAAAATATAGGAGAGTTAGATAATCCAAGTTGTTATATTTCTCCACGAACTAACATCATTTAGAGACCACTGGGGACTACCAGAGAGCACTGAACACGGCTGTTTCTTCCTTTTTTCAGGACTCTTCAGGTATAAACGCATATGATCCCGCGAGGGGTCGAACTTGGAGATTTTTGGATTACTAAATCAAGCTGGTTAACCATTCATTCACTTGCTCTAGAATTCAGTGGGCCATGAATCCTAACTTCTATCGATGAGCATCCACCCCACTTTGACACACAGTAGACCCTACTGTTCATGGCATTTCATTATACCACTTCAGGACATCCATCCGGTAACCACTAATCAGCTGGCGATTAATAAATAATTTTTGTATAAAGACTTTAGTTTCTCTCTCTGAGTAGCTACAACTTCAGTGACGCAAAGAAGGTTACCCTTCGCTAATATCAACCGCTTTAAAGAAGGATTTTGCTGAGACTACGTTTTATAACTGACTAATACTGACTTATGCATTCGTCTGACTTGACTAGAATGCACTTTCAGAATACGACACACTGATCACTTGAAACTACTAGCCGCACATTGAAATGAGTTTAAAAATAAAGGCTGGAATAACAATCTTCCTTACAGTAAATATGTGATATCTAATGTTTATAAATCCTGAGAAATTTAAGCCAAAAATATGTGACAAATCTGATTGGTTGTCTGACATTGAAACCCCTCAGAAAATTAAGCCATAAATGAACGAATCAAAATTGCACAGTATTAAAAAATAGTTTTTTCAACGAATATAGGTATGAGTGGGATGAGCATAGAAACAAAATGATATAATAATTTTTATAATTGAAAATGAAAAATGAAGTGAGTGAAAAAAGGGAAGTTAATAAGTCGACCTGAACTATTTTTTTCCTTCACGTTCCCCAGTGGAACATAGGGTTTCCAGCTAGAGGCTTGAAATTTCTGTAGCAGTGTTTATTTTACAGGATGGGGTTGCTAGCCTCATGTCCAACCTTTCCTCTTTACCAGCATTATTTCTGGCTTGGCGATGTAAAGGAGTGCATCTGTGGTAGGGGATCAAACCCCGGACCATGTGCATGGTCGGCGAGCGTCTTAACCGCTATGCCACCGACGCTAATCTGAACTAGATGCATAGTAAATGTAGAGGCTTGTCTAATTTCTTTTGAACACATAGCTCCAGTTTTTCGATGCAAATGGTGAGGTCTTTCGCTGTATTATAAAGAAGTTGGAAACATACTTCTTTTTGTTGTTAGATTTTGCTTTACTTTATAAATGACTCTGAATGATGGACGAGTTAGTTGGGTTGGTATAACAGGTGTTGACGAGGTGTTTCATTATGATGCGTATGACTGAACCACTTCAATCTTCTTTGCAGACATGCCGAGAAATGTTCTCCAACACGTTTTGACATGACCCGAACATAGAACGACCTATGTACCTAGCTCTCTACGAGCTTGTGAACCAATATATGCGTATTGGAGTGGTCATATGCGGAAGTTTCTCCTTTAAACTGCTTAGAAGCAGTGGACAACTAGAGAATATCACTCTTAGAGGAAGGATTTTTTCAGGGAACTGGAGATTTCACTTGGTGGATAGTCACTAGCAGTGGAATCCAGGACAATGTGCATTTCGTCCTTTTCGGGAGTTGTCATCTGGATGCACCTGCATTCTGCTAGCCAACCTGAGACCGAGCACTTTGGTCCAGTGAATCTACGGGAAAATTTAAAATTGAATTATATAACTGAAGGTTTCCCTCTTAAGGATATCTGCAGCTAAGACTCTCATGGAGTCTACATTCAACTATAGTGTATTTTCCTTGATAATGAAGTGAATTATTCTCTTTTTGGCTTTGGTTACATGTCCTGCTTCTTCTTGTTGGTTTTGATACAAATTGCAAATAAAGCCCAAATTATGGGAAATTCAGCGACTGGAAAGGTGGGGAAATGTTACTCCGACAATCATTTGTTTTGTTCATAAAGTGATGCTACACCTTGTACACAAAACAACTATTAGAACTGGTGGAGAGTTGCAGATCTCATCTGACTTTTTTGTTTCATTTCATGTTGTCGCTCTTACTGGTCTTTGACAGTAATAATCTACATTCTAATTTTTTCTTTATATCTTCATAAGGTGCAAGGAATTGAACCGGTTACCATAGATACCTTGTTATCCACCACTCCAGGTCAGACAATATCACCGAATTCATTTACACCATCAACAACATGTGAACGACGTATATGTCCACCGGGTGTAGACTATGGTCGACATTATCCAATCTCATATCTTCAATTAGCAGAACAAGGTTTTACAGCGATAATGAGTAATGACGAATTAAATCCGAATATGAATGGAAATGCTGGTGGTGGTGGTGGTCATCGATCTAGATCTTTAGCAAGATCATTTTTCAGTCCTATGCATTCAGCATCATCAACAGGATCAAGTCATCATCCGCATTCACATCTGCAGCATCCGCAACAGCAACATGTATCACGACGTGATGTTGTTGTCCGATCAATGACTAGTAATTCTATACCTTATCGAAGATCAAATGATCTTGACTCGAAGAAACAAATGGTAAATGGGGGCAGCCCAAATCGTTATAACAACAACAACAACAACAGTAATATACCACTGGCTACTACGGCGACGACTATGACATCGATATCTCATGATTCTAATATGCCTATCTCGTTAACTGGTCGACCAAAACGTGATATGTATGTACGTCAAAGACAACTGTCACCAGGATCAACATCTCTTGGTTCTGGTGTTATGGGATATCGTCGATCGGAAAGAATGATGAATTCATCTACTCTACCACCAGGATTAGAGAATTTACGTCAATCTACAGGTGAGTTATTATTATTGTTGTTATTTCATTCCTTAAGTTTTGATTGGTTTTATGAGGTCTGAGCAGAATGTCTGCATTCTAATTACTGTGGCCATATTCAGTCGATTTAAAACCGCCCACACTTTTTCTAAAGCATAAAAAGCTCTAATTGACACCATTCATTTTGGTTTTTTTTTTCATTCTGTTAATACTATTCCACGGGTAAATCCCTCGTCAGATGGTTGGAAGCGATTGGCGGGAGGCCGTGCCTGGACCTAGGTTTTGTGATAATTGGCACTCACCAGTCAGCAAGGGATATCTGAAACCTTGAATATTTTACACTAGTCACTAACTGGTGTCCATTAAAAAATCCTTCATCTTCTCTTAACTCAGCTACCACCAATTGTGATGACAGTCGGAAAAATACTGCTGACGATCTGTTAAAACCACGCTGTCAACTTCAGACTGCGATATTTAACGTCAGGACCATTTACCAAATTTTTTTTTGATTTTTTTTTTATTTACAGTTTGATTCCACACTGTATTTTTGGTACAAGTATGGAATTTTCAGCATGGATATCGGTAGCCCAAATTTTGCAGGCCAACCATAGATATCAGATGTGCGTCGGTGCGGGCTCGAACTCCGGACCATGTGTATGGTCGGCGAGAGTCCTAATCACTGTGCCACCGACGCAACAGATCAACAGATATCGCTACCAATAACTCTGGCATCTCAAGCCATAAGTGTATGTTGTATTTTGGTGACATTTAAGCCCACCTGATCAACAGAATGAATCTACAGGATTCATCTTACGGGTATCAGAAGTTTCTTCACCTAGTTTGCGAGGATTCCTCGGTGTAGGGATAGTATTGGAGTACTATGGCGAAAAGTTCGTTAATTGACTAGATTCCAGTGGGTAGTCGTTGTATGTGTATTGTCAGTCTTAACGGATTCGTTAGAAGAGTGAGAGATCACAATACCTCTCCTGGTCCATTCATAATATCCGCCTACGCCCCAACAGACTGCAGTTCGGATGAAATGTAGGATGAGCTCCATCAAAAACTTATATATATCCAAACCAAGTTCACTTTTAATGGTTTGAAAAAATTTGGGCATTGGGATCTAGTTTGTTGCTAAGCACAAAACGCCCAGATATTGTCGCTTTAACAGGGAATTTCGCTGCTCAATTTGGTGAGTTGTAACAGTCTAGAGTGAAGAGCTAGGCATCTAGGGAGGACAGGTATAGTTTTAATCAAATAAGAGGTCAGACAATAGAATGCAATGGAGATGTTCCACTGGGATCCCAAAAAGCAAATAATAATGATTGTGAAGTGTCAGATTGTTGAAATTCGATTGTTTATAGGTTTGATTACGATCTGATAACCGTTAGAGAACTGTTATTGAAAAACCAATTCTGGAGTACTGGACAGCGGTTTCGTCCCAACCGGGGACTCTTTAGCGGTACACACCTATGACTGAAGTGGGGATCGAACCTAGCATGCATTCCGATTGCAAGCAAGCGAGATTGTATACCATTCATCAGCCACTTGAGACGAAATCCAATCGAGCGTGAATTCTAACCCTCGTCAACTGTTGATTAAGGCGCGAGCATCAGTTTCAACGTCACTGGCAAGTATTCGTCCACACACTTGGCCTGGTTTATCATTATTTTATTCTTTTATATTCCCAGTGGAACATAGAGCTTCAAGCTCGAGCTTTAAAGTTTCGGTAGCAGTGGTTTAATTTTTATGGGGTGGGCTTTCTAGCCTCATGCCCCAACCTTCTCTCTTCGTGGGCCTTACTACCGGCTAAGCGATGCAGAGGAGTGCGTCGGCCAGGAATCGAACCCCGAACCACATGCGTGGTTGGTGACTATTCAACCGCTGAATCACCGAGGCATAGACATCATCAGGATGAGGCGGATGCATATAGTATACAGCCTTCTTCAAACCTTGCACACAACCATTATTTTGCTTACTATCTTATCACCCTTAGTAGATCTGGCAACAAAAGTCACGCAAACACCATCAGAGCATGTGAAAGGCTGCTTACCCGACCTGGTTGATCCTCACCGGTCACAGATTCTCTTTAGAACTTCTTAGGCAACTTTTTCCTTTAGTCAGTCAGTCAGTCAATCACGAGTGTGCATCAGACTACTGCTAATTGCTGTGAATGGACAGTAAAGGCCCCTTATCAACGGTTAATCTTCTTTTCTCTGTCTCACGTACTCAGTAGTATTGTTGTTCTCGTTGTTGGAGGTAATGCTGGCGTTAGAATCGAAATTCTTAGCAGCATAAGTTCACACTCTTTAACCGATTACCTCTCCTTTATCGCAGCTAACCATGACTCAGTAGATACATAGCGAAAATATTCATTCAGACATCTATAAAACACAAAATAATTCAGCAACGAATATCCCTTTCGATAATTTTCTCTTCTGGCTCTACAATTATGCATATATATGTTTATACAAATAGAATATTCTAGAATAGTAGTCAATAACAATATTAGTGTCTTTTAAATAATATCGATTTGTTAAGTAAGATCAAGGGAATCACAGCTAGTTAAAGATGCTTAAATTGTAGTAATAGTAATAACAATATAATAGCAAATTGAATATCAGCCAAAATTTAGGAAATTTCTACAAAAATTGAGAATCATTCGAACTTAAATGACCAAGCGGATAAGGACAGTATCTGAACTAGGTTTTTTTTGGACGCATAAATTAGGCTTATTAATGTGGATCGCAACGGCCAGCCTCAGCAATATTTAGTAAACGGACTCTCAAGGCGAAGTTAAGATTTGATGGTTGATATGCGGTAAAGGACGTTGAAAGCCGCCTCGTTGTAATCAATCTTGTATTCTACATCCACATGATGAGATAGAATAGCGCTACAAACAGATTTTTACTGTCAATAAATAATTTTCTTCTCACAGCCCATTGATAGTTTAAGCATTTGGCTTTCAATCAGTGGGTCGTAGTTTCGATTTACACTCCACTTCAGGGTGGGGCGAATGATGGGGTGACTGCATAGTAAGTAAGTACCATCAACATTCACACAGAAAGTGTAAGTTTTAGCCTGACACATGAAATATCGAAAACTCACACGATGCATATCGATTATTTTAATTTAACAATACTTAATAGTAATCATAATTGCTTTATTCCAAACAATATTTTTTGGTACAAATATGAAATATTCAGCATGTAGTACAATACAGTATTGCATTGCACTTTCTCATTACACGACGTAATAATTACAAAACCAGGTCATTTACATTCACAATACCGTTCAATATGAATGAATATAAATGTAAAATTACAATTCAAGTGAAAATATTAACAACAATAACATAATAATGAGAGAAAAAACGAGGAGCGTCTATTTAGAGTTCCATAGTAAGTTGGCTGGTAGTGTCATGCCTTACACTTTTCTCATCACATCAAATGTGTCCCAGCCAAATAAGGCGGTATTGTTGAGTTTATGTACGTAGTCGTTCAAGCATATGATATCCTATGACTTCTTCCGATGCCTCTACCTGATGAAGATGCGAGAGAGGAGAGTTCTGTATAGAAAGGATGCTCAGCTTCCTGCCATGTGTCTATCTTCAACAGTGTTAACGGGTTGGTTTAGTGACAATCCACTTGCCTTACCGAAAGCATTTAGTAACCCTCATGCCATATAACAAAGTCTTTCTTAAGTATCCCAGGGAAGATTAAGGTTTGACTGGAGCAGTACAGAAGGATAGGCAGAATACCAGAATAAGAAAATTGTAAAGGTAAACATTGACTATATAAACCAAATAAAATACTAAGCCGCATCATTCTGGAGAGAATCAAACAAGCCAAACTGGATGAAAGACTTCGACCGGAACAAGCTGGATTCAGGAGAAACAAGTCATGCATCGATCAAATCATCACTCTACGGATCATCACTGAACAAAGCTTGGAATGGCAGTCACCTCTCTATCTCAACTTCATCGACTTTGAAAAGGCCTTTGACAGCGTCGATCGAGAGGTGATTTGGCAACTACTTCGCTACTACGGGGTCCCATCGACAATTATACATCTCATCCAACAGTTATACGAAAGTGCTGCATGCCAAGTAATCCACAACGGGAAACTTACGGAAGCCTTCGAAGTGAGGACGGGAGTGCGACAAGGATGCCTACTATCACCAATGATCTTCCTGATTGCAGTAGATTGGATAATGCGACAGACAACGGGCAATGAGGAAACAGGCATAAAATGGACTGACACAAAAGACTTGGAGGATCTGGATTTCGCCGATGATGATATATGTCTGATTTCCCACAAACTGGAAGATATGCAAGTGAAAAGCAACAAGTTGGCGGAAGAAGCATCAAAGATAGGACTTCCGTCAGGTGAACATAGATAAAACAGAGGTGATGAAGATTCCTGGACAACACCAACAGACAATAATCAGTCAACATAAATGAGAGGAACCTGAAAGAAACAACTTCCTTCACCTACCTACCTGAGAAGCACCCTTTCGACTACAGGCGGAACTGACGAGGATATCAAAGCCAGAATCGGAAAAGCAAGACAAGCTTTCATTACCCTCAAATCTGTGTGGAGGTCAACAGCACTCAGCATGAAAAATAAGATCCGGATTTTCAACTCAAATCTGAAGTCAGGGAATTACTACTATATGGATCAGAGACATGGCGCATCATGAAGAGCACCTCAAACAAACTTCAGACCTTCATTTACATCTGTCTTCGCTCAAAACTACTCGAGATCAGATGGCCGGCTAGAAAAGATCAGAAACACGCATCTCTGGGAGCAAACCAACCAGGAACCGATTGTGCAACAAATAGGCAGGAAGAAATTGAGGTGGATTGGCCATATTCTGAGGAAACAAACCGTCAAGTGACATCACTAGGCAAGCAATCGCTCGAGTGGAAGCCGATAGTGAATTGGCGAGTTAGTGGTGGTCAGTGCGAGGTTGACTTGGCGGAGGTCATGTGAAGAGGAGATGAAAGCATGTGGGCAGAC